GAATAGCCAGTAAATCTGCTGTAATTGTTTATTCACATTGAACTATCCAATGAACTCTATTTGCCATATTAACTATCCATTGATATTTTCGTATTCAATCATCTTTTATTGACTTTCACCTGCACTTTTCAATGTAATGATCATCATCAACTGTATAGTTTCCTCTTTTGCGACCATCATTGTCGACAGTTGAACGCACTGCATCAGTCATCTTAATGGTTGGAGCTACTAATGTACAATTTCGAAGTTAATATAATGGAGAAGATGAAGGGAAACTACAAAATTATTCAGAACATTTTGCTTTGTATCTGTATTTGCAGGCTTTTCAGACTTTTAGACAAGTTTTCTGGAACAATGTTCAAGAACTTTTCCTGGCCGTCTGAAGAGTTCTATGATGTCCTCCAAGCTGGAAAGATGTAAAAACTCTTCAAGCTCCTCCTTGCTATTGTTTTTGTTCAAGGATGCCGCTCGGGAGTGCGTCACGCAAAGTTTAAAAGAAACACAAGAAGATAACCTTACATACTTGCGATAAAACATAGAAAGAACTCAAACTCCTCCACTACATCTAAAAGCTTTGCTGCGAGGGTTTTATTGGATTCATGGATTCATTACAATTCTATTCCGAAGGCTCATGGGTTACGTTTCTCCCTATGTCATAATTCTTCACAATTATTGCGTCAAGATGCTCTTTCCTTGAATGCGCGAGCCTATGGCGGCCAACCTGCAGAGAGCCATCTCGTCAAATTTTAAGCCTAACAACTGTTAAAGAACAAAAAACACTAATTTGTTTTTGTTCCAAAACGATTTCGTACGTCATCAACAATGTTTTCTTCAGTATTTCATTAAGTAGTTTATCTATCAAGAAATATTTCCATCAGTAATCTTAGTCACAAAAAATTCCTTTAAAAAACCTTTAACCTGTTTTGCATTGGAATTTTAATTCCATTTATGGTGAATCAAAGGCATCTAAGATTCTCGATAAAGAAGTCATCTATGAACTGTTGCGATGATGAAAGACAGTTTTTCCTTTCTTTGCAAAATTTTCAAATTGAGTGGTCGCCATACCTGTCAAAAAGAAATGTCAATGTGAGCTGAGTTGAGAGTCTAATTGCTTGCGACACAACTTAGACTGGACACACCATGAACGTTCTGTTGAGACTTTTTAAAGCATAAATGAAATAACCACCGGATGCTTTGGTGTACCCTAACCTCGAAATTTCAATGAACTGACCAATTTTTATATCATCATAACGGTTAGCGTAAATTTCATAGAAATAATGGACCTTCTTGAAAAATTTCAATTCAAATTCAACAACTTTTATATGGAGACAATAAAGACCCTGATTACTAAGAAATTTTCCTTTTTTTCTTGTTAAGAAAATAACTGAAGTTTGAAACCAGAAAAATCCATACGCGACCAATTATAGATAGATTTCTTTAAAAATATGATGACTTTTTTCTATTATCCCATACTTATCTTGTTTACAGACCCTCGCTTATCTCCCCTTATTAGAATGAAAGCAACAGAGCATTCGTAATTGATCTAACATCTTTTCCATTTTCCCAGTTTTTGTTCAAGAAATTTTTCACAAAATTCTTGAGTTTCTCAAATATACTCTGACATAACCTTTGTCTCAAATTCATGTCCTTGTTCCGCATTCCTTCAGACAGCGACCGCAATAAACAAGAACGAGATCATGTAGCAATTAATGAAAATGACAAACGAGTTTTACTAGGCACCAGTTCACATTTGGTATGTGATATATAGATGTAAAATGTGATGGGGGAAGATGGTCTAATGTCTAATAGGAAAGGTTGATTTATGTGCCGTATTTTGTCTCCATTACTTCAAGTGAGATTACTCACAAACAATGATCTAACCTAGGGCATTGAAAAACAGGGTCACACTAGGCAGACCGGACCTCGGGGCTGGTTTCCTTGTCAAGTCATTTGCAATTTAATGCAATCTCAAGAAGAACTTCTAGGTTTGTTTTCTTTTACCTTTACTCAATATTGTAAAGCACTGCGACCGAGGTATTCCAAATTGTTGGTGATTTTAAGAAAAGAGAAGCCTCGGGTACGAGTCACCGTTAGTCACTGAAATGCAAGCAAAACTTAAAGGGTAATTTTGTGATAATAACTTCCCTATTCAGACTCAAAAATTTTACCAACAGAGACTCAATTTACTCCTACAAAAAACATTATCATTTTTGTTTCTCTAGCTTA